CATGAGCCTGTCCCCAGCCCAGTGTGCGGAGTTTCAAGTGCTTTCACCAGAGACCCCTGGAAGCTCGGTGGGAGGTCGCTGGCCTTCCCCATCGGCCTGTCTTACTTGCTGGGAGAGCAGCTCTCTTCCCTCCTGCCAGTCACACGCGCTGCTCTCTGGGGTGACGCAACCTCCGTGTGACAAATGCACGCCTCTCGGCGGCCAGCTTGGCGGCTCCGGGAAGACAGTGCCAGCGCCGGGCCAGCCCTGAGCGTGGGGCTCCGTGGCTCCGTTTCCGGCCAGAGGAGGCCCCCGGGGCTGGGGGGCTGGGGAGGGGGCTCCCTTACGAGGCTCCCAGGCCACCGCCTCTCAAGAGGCCCCCTTCCTATTTCTGCCGCCCCCTCACTTCCCGCCTTGCCCCGCTGCCTTCTCCTGAGCTCCCCCCTTTTCTGCAGCGCGGGGAGCCGGGGCCTGACTGACCCTGTGCCCCCCCCCCCCCGCAGTTTCTTGCCCAGCTGAAGCTCATGGACTACAGCCTGCTGGTGGGGATCCACGACGTGGAGCGAGCCGAGCAGGAGGAGGTGGAGTGCGAGGAGAACGATGGGGAGGAGGAGGGAGAGAGCGACGGCACCCACCCTGTGGGGACCCCCCCGGACAGCCCCGGAAACACGCTCAACAGCTCACCGCCCTTGGCCCCGGGGGAGTTCGATCCGAGCATTGACGTTTATGGAATTAAATGCCAAGAAAGTAAGCTGAGTTCTTAGCAACTCTTTTTATCTGTGAAGTGATTTGGGTTTTGCATTGCTTCCCACCAGTGATGGTAATCATCCCAGTTAGAAGTCTGCTGCCCTCCAACACTTACTCCCCGGAGTCTCAGGAGGCGACGCGGGGGCAAGGGCATGTTCAGGTGACTGACTCATCTCCGGTTTTGAAACGTAACGTGGTCAGGTCCCTGAATTCTGTGATGTTGAGGGAATGGAGTGAAGCCACAAACGATTTTATCTATAGATCACCCATGTTCACACGCTTACGTGTGTGTGGACGTCATACAGAAGAAACATGGTTTTTGCAGCCATCTCTTATGTGGATGTAGGCGTCAGGACTCTGTCCCGAGCTAGGCACACACGTGGTCCCCAGCGAGCCCCATCGGACACCCCGTAGGGCCGGCGTGTCCTCACTGCCAGGCCTTCCCCTCTCGCCCAGAGTATGGGATGAGAGCGTCTAGTCTGCTGTTGTGACTCTGTCTGTCCTTGGCTGTGTCCCCTGCCCGCCCATTAAGGGGATCTCTCTGGCCCTCTTCTCTGAGCCCAATCCTAATCCTCAAAATCCAGGCGACTGGATATTTGAAGAAATGTTACCGTCTACCTTAGCTACTCTGACATGAGAAAACCAAGATGCTTTGGAGAGAGGATAAAGGCAGGCCTCTTATTTTTTGAGTAATAAAAATTATGGTTCATCATTGCTTAAAAAAAAAAAGATGTGGCGTATCAGCTAAGTGAGCTTGGGTTGTGTTTTTTATTTTGCTCACCAAAATTTTCTTCAACACAGAAAATGAGATGTAGTGAAAAGTACTTCTCTTATTGTTTATAATTAAAACCACAGATATGTGGAAATACGTGGAAGGCAGGTCTTAGAGACGATCTGTGCCTTCCTCTAGTTCTGATGCTAGACTCTGTGAGCACTATGTACGGTTGCATGTACAGGCACACCTCAAAGTCCTCCACAGTAACGCGAGTCAAATGAATTTTCTGGTTTCCCTGTACATGTAAAAGTTATGCTTACACTATTATATAGCCTCTTAAGTGTGCAATAGCATTGTATCTTTAAAAAACAATGTACATACCTTATTTTAAAAGTACGTTATTGCTAAAATATACTAACCATCACCTGAGCTTTCAGTGAATTGTAATTACTGATCACAGATCACCGTAAAAATATGACAATGAAAAAGTTTAAAATATTGCTAGGATTACCAGAACGTGACGGAGACATGAAATGAGCAGATGCCATTGGGAAAATGGTGCCAACACAGGGCTGCCACAAACCTTCAATTTGGAAAAAATGCAGTATCTGCAAAGGGCAGTAAAACAATGGTTGACAAGGATTAAGGAGCATAATTCCATCTACTGTTGTATTATTAGCATTTTTCTTTACACCAGAGCAATACATTATCACTAAAGAAAATGCAGGACAAAAAATAAAAACAGTCTCCCCCTCGGACCTCTACTGGTAACATCCTAGGGTTATACTCTTTTACTTCTTGAATCAAGAGAGAATTGGGGGAAATGAAGCTGTTTAACAGGAATACGTAGGACCTCCATGGATTTTTTTCCCCCATGTTACTATTTATCACTTAATTTTTTTGTATCCGGGGAGAGCTGACAGCCTGTGTCACGTGCATTTCAGGCGGACAGCACGGTGGCTTCTGATGCTGCGCTGCTGCCCGTGCGGCCGTGCCCGCGCCCCACGTGTAGCTTCCCCTGCCCACCACCCAGCACCGGTTCCGAATCGCAGCTGTATTTCTTGCGCTGCACCTTTCTGCTCCGTGACTTGTTCATTCTGTAACTGGGAGCCTGTCTCCCGACCCCTCACCCATTCTGCCTGTCTCTCCACTCCATAAAACATGGAGGAGGGAAAAAAAAGGATTTTTTTAGAATGTGTTTGAACTTAAATGGACCTGGCCTTAGTTTTCAGACTCCTCCAGTCCCTGTTCTGTCCTAGTCCCTCGTGCCCAGGACGTGCTTTCCCAGGTGGTGTCATCTGTCCCACAATCACCGCTCGCTCGCTCTCTCATCCTTTCCAGACTCGCCCAGGAAAGAGGTGTACTTTATGGCAATTATTGACATTTTGACCCATTACGATGCAAAAAAGAAAGCTGCCCACGCTGCAAAAACCGTTAAGCATGGCGTAAGTATCTCCACTCTGTTTCCTTCTCTGCTCCAGGGCCCTTGCTGCTGTCTGTAGTGCGGGGACCAGCTATGGCTGCCTGCCTCCCACCGGGCTGCCCAGAGTCCGTCGGGTTCAAGTCCTTCCTTTGGCAGTGGGGGTGGGTGGCAGGGAGGGTCACGCTCTGAGTGCGAGATTTGGAGCCAGAAAATGCCAACAGCTAGTCCCAGCTCTTGCCGCGACTCCCTACGCTCTGGGCAGGTCGCTTCAACTCAATGGCCAGTCTTCTGTTTCCACGCTGGGGATATTCGCACACACATGTGTCTCTAGAATATTGTGCAAATTCGTTTTTGTTGGAAAAATGCTTCAAAGATAAAAACGCAGGTAACCAAGTGCTTTAACATGAATTTTCAGAACTGTGAGACGTTCAGAACGGAAGCACTCACTATTCCACGCTTCAGACACTTCCCAGATATTCTCTTTCTTTTTGCACACTGAATTGTACATTTTCTATTACAGAAACCTCGTGGGTGTGAGATCAGTTTAATAACAAATTCCTCACCTTTATTGTTCTTGCTCTAAATTATCACTCTTCTAATGCTATTCTGACTTACTGACTCCCCATGACAAGCCTGTGAAGGATACTAGCATCTCATTGTTTATCAGTTGGAGAAACTGAGGAAGAAAGCGAAAGTGGTACCTTGTCAGGGTCACGACACTAGGAAGTGGTAGAAACGGGAGTGCTCCCCAGGACCGAGCCCAGCCCCCTGCCCTCCCGGCAAATCCCACCTGCCTGGTTGAGCCTCACAGGTGGCAAGGACCCATCACGCTCATATCGTAGAGACTCATGTTGGTTTTCCAGGTGTTGCTAAAAAAGCCACAGACAACCCCCCCCCCCATAGAGACACACCTGTTTACGGCTCATCCCGTAAACTGCAGCCTGCACAGCCGACCACCCGCGCCACAACATCGGCCTCTATGAAAGGCTTTTGTTCTGTATGTACCGTCAAACAGGGTGTCCTCCCGCAGGGGAGCCAGCCTGAAACCACACTCTGTTCGCCAGAGAAACATTTCAGTTACATCATCAAGTACAACTTACGATATTCCTACTGTGTGCAGAGCACGACCAACACCTCCCCCGGCCCAGTGAAAGCTCCAGAAACCCTGCATCAGTGAGACGAGGGCACCCGGCGGCTCTCACCTGGCAGCTCGCATCGCAGCCTCCCACGTACACTTGTGAAGGGTGTGCATACCCTATTCCCTGGTTCTGCGTCCAGGTCCCCCTCTGGGGAGGTCTCTCAACGGCTCCACAGTAATCCTGATGCTCACCTCTGATGGAGAGCCATGGGGTCCAGCAGAGACAACTGGGTCAGAATCCCGATTTCAGCACTCCCGGTCATGTGACCTAGAGAGCTTCAGGTCCCCCAACTGCCTCGTGGGAGGTGTGCGTGGAGGATACGCGTGGTGAACGGGCTGAATGCCAGGAGGGGCTTTGTGTCCATCCCCAGCCTTCCTTGCTCTTGCCATCACATCACATGCCATATGAAACTGGAAAGCTACCGTGGCAAACGTGGCCCCATTCGAGTCTCTAAGTCACCAGCTCAGCTCCGTCATACACCACATGGCCTAAAATCATGTATGGTTTGCAGGAGACATTACTCTGAGCAAAGGAATGTGGTGTTGAGCTGCTGCTGGGAACTGTTCTCTGCCTTCGAGGCCCGGGCTCCTCTGTGGAGATCGCAGCAGCCCAGGCCGGGCATGGAAATTCCAGGTCCCCCAGTGACTATAGGGGTCTAAAAATAGCAGCTGGTGACATAGTAAAACTGCTCTTGCCCTTTGCAGCTCAGGAAACTGGCCGGAACTACAGACCTTGGGTCTGGTCGCCAGCACTGCCTCTGGTGATAGGAAGTCTCCCTCTGAGGCTCCACGAGGGGCCCTGGCTGCCCTGCTCCCAGAGGGGAACAGTGGCAGTGCTGTGCCCTGTGTCCTGAGCAAAGCCTGTCGCCCCTCCCCCTCGCTTCCACCCCCCACTGGGGGAGATGCAATCAGCAGCCTCGTGTCCCGCCTGGTTACGGTGCCAGCTGACGCGGACCCTGCCGCTGCTCTAACCCCTCTTTTGAGCACTCACCACTCACCTGGGTCCTGAGAAAGAAACACAATCCTAGGTCATTGTCGTTGAAATGTCCCTGCAGCCAAATGTTGCTGTTTGTGTCCTTCTCAAGGTATCTCCAATCGGTTCTCCTGAAAAACACACACCGATCATCACACGGCTTCCGAGTATAGGCCAAATGGAGTCCGTTTGTTTTTTTAATTTTTTTTTTTAATGTTTTATTTATTTCTAGGAGAGAGAGAGAGAGACAGCGTGAGCAGGGGAGGGTCAGAGAGAGAGGGAGTCACAGACTGAAACAGGCTCCAGGCTCCAAGCTGGCAGTCAGCACAGAGCCCCACGCGGGGCTCGAACCCACGAACCGCGAGATCATGACCTAAGCGAAAGTTGGACGCTTAACCGACTAAGCCACCCAGGCGCCCCTGGAGTCCACCATTTGAAAGGAACATCCCAAACATGGCTAGTTCAAGTTTTGGGATTTTTTTTTTAAGTTGCTGTAGTCCCAGTATGTGTGATGACAGCATCTGCTGTTCAGACTCTTTGCCTCATTTTCACACAGATCCCTAAGAACCTTGACTATTCCGATATTCAGACACAATATCCAAGATATTCTGAGTTCTGTTTTAAGAACAGGGGCACAGATTTGAAAATTATTAGCTTTAGATTTAGCCGCAATTGAAAAAACTGCCATACATACTAAGTAGTAATTCTGTTGATACTCCTCTCCTTTCCATCTGCCTAGGCTGGTGCAGAGATCTCGACCGTGAACCCAGAACAGTATTCAAAGCGCTTTTTGGACTTTATTGGCCACATCTTGACGTAACCTCCCACATGACCTCGGATGGACATGAGCAGGGGAAGGACAGAGGTGGCTTCGGCGTAGGAAAAATGAAAACCAAACTCAGTGAAGCACACCTCCTCGTTTACATCTTCAGGCCAAGATGACTGATTTGGAGGCTACTCGCTTTAACAGCTACCTGATATTTCCCAGCATCGTTCTAGCTATTTCTGACACGTGTGTGTGCGTGTGTGTATGTGCGTGTGTGTGCGCGTGCGAGTGCGTGTCTTAAAAGTTAATTAATTAATGAAAACCGATCAGCTTCAGTCAGAGCATGTCTGGGCAACAACCCTCTGATTCCAGCTGTGGATGAACGAGTGAATGAATGAATGAGCACATGCGGGGGGAGGGGGTGAAGGAAATGCATGTCGGACCAACCACGTTGGCATCACACGATAAACTGTGGATCAGTTTATGTTTTGGAGTTGAAAGATGTGACAGTATTCATAATAATAATGAAGATAATAATAATGATGATAATAATGATGGTGATTAAAGGAAAAAAAATTTACCCGCGAATGTTACATTTCTGCCACGCACGCTGACACTCCTTAACAGTTGTACCCCAGGCACCTGGCACTGGACGGAGGCGTGCCCTGCTTCAGGGTTCCGCCTCCGCACAGTGTCAGGGCTCCCGGTGTCCAGGGACAAATGCCCCTCCTCCAGCAAGAAGCTGATGTCCCTGGTGACTCTTATCTGTACACCACTCACCTCAGTAAGTACGTCCAGGAAAACTGCTTACTTCTCTTTTCTCGCCTGGAGCTTCTTCACTGTTACACCCTTATGTTGCAATATAGGAATTAATGCTACAAAATAAAAATAGAGCTTACCTGAAAAGTGCATAGTTTCGGGCAATGGTATCTACATCTCCTACTGTGGGAAGCTGAGCAAAGCATTGAGAACTCTGACTGCTCCTGGTGACGACGGCAGATCTGAATTATAAGATGTTTATGTTTGACCATTGTTTAAACAGTGGTGTTTTGTTATGAATTATCCCTTTAACTGAACCCCTCAATTTTACTGTTTACATTATTAGGAAAACAGGGATATTTTTGAATCTAAAAATTTAATGTACAGCATGTGATTTCTGAAGTTTACATGTAAAGTCATTTTACAGTGTAGGTGAAATAATGTCTGTCATATTTTGAAATGTACCCTGCAGTCATGTTTTTGGGTGAGTGTTTTATTCAAAGTACACGGTGGGCAGTCCTCTACAGTGAAAGGAAAAGGTGGTTTTGTTTCCTCCAGATGTACATTTATCAACCTGATGATTTTTCTTAAATGTTTAACCCAAATCTGGTTATGTAAGTTCATTGCCCTAAACTGTGCTGATTGTGTTTTAATCAGTTTATAAATTTTCAACAGCGATCGTGTATTTACCAACTTTCTGGCATTTTCTGAAAGGCGTCAGGCTAAAATATTAGACTTGCTTAGAGTAGGTTATCAACTTATACACTGTGCTAAAGCTGTGCCTTTGAAATTCTTTGTTTAAAACATGAGATGATTTTTGTAGGCAGTTTCAGAAAAGACAAAAAAAATCCACACTCCAGTGATTACTTAGAACTCACAAACAGCCCTGCTGTACCGCCCCACCAGTACCTTTACTTCAGGGCTCATCAAGACCCCAAGAGCACCCACTGCGTGTGGGTTACTTCAGAAAACACGCGGTGACAGCAAATCAGGACCGGTGGGAGCCGGCAGCAGCGCCACTCTACTCCCATTTATGGACTTGACCCGGATTTGTTAGCCACGGGAGACAGTGTGATCACCATGGTTGTTTGACATGATTGTCCCAACCTGTATTTTATGCATCTAAATTAATTGAGACTGTGATTTGGTCCCCCAACCCCCCCACCCCACCCCACCCCGCCATCATTCATTCTGGCATCAAGTATCTTTGAATGTTCTGAAGTTAAACTCTGGTTTCTTTGGCCCAAGACTACCGAATGAGACCCTGAAGTAAAGATAAGGTACCCATACGTTATCTGAGTAACTATTTCCTTTGTGGCCAGTCTGTGTATGCTTTTAGAAGTTTACAAAATGCTTTATTTTCGTCTATGACAGTCTCTGTCATTCATTTCTGTCGATAAACCATTTGGACAGAGTGAGGAAGTTTGCCTTGTATCTCCTAGTGCTAACAGTACACTCCAGTCATGAGCCAGGCTTTACAAAATAAAGCACTTTGATGACTCACAAAGTGGATCCTTCGTTCCTCTCTCTCAACTGCGTTTCTCTGACTGTGAATCAACTTTACATACTTGGTACTAAGAGTACCTTTAGGAAGTACAAGCAAAATGGAATCTCTCACCACCTAGAGCTCTGCCTTCAACCTGTGAATCATTAGTAAATAATGGAAACTTCCACACCAAAATTGACTTGCTGTGGGATGAACAGGCAGAGAAAAGAAATCTCTTAAGTGAATCCCCTATAAATACGTTGTATTTTTAATTTTTACCAACCACGGTTCTGCGTCGGCATGTTCTGAAACTTTACTGGGCGACCGCCGACGGACGGGAGGCCCCCCGTTCCACTGCCCTCGGTGCCAGGTTAGCCAACAGTCCGATCGGCTGTGGCGCTTGTTTTGAAAACGCGGATTTGTTCTAAAGCGATTGATATGTGAGGGAACGACTGGGCACAAGGTAGTTTTCCCATTTACTAGTGTGCACTTCAGTCCACAAGGAACGTGAGATGGACGGGAAACCGCACCGGGCCGAACTGTGCACACAGGACACAAGGGACACCCCCACCCAACCCCCCCCCCCAAGCATCCCCAGCTCCCGCAGTCTTTCCCCCCGTGGGTAGTCCCCCAGGGCTGGACCTGGAGTTACCCCCTGACGTCTGACTTCAAGCCACGCCTGCCTCTACTTGGCAGCAGTCCAGGGACACAGCCCTTCCAGCGCTCTGGCCCGCAGCCGCCCTTAGGGTCCTCCGCAAGATAACCTGCCACGTTTATTGCGGTATTTATATATCTCCTGGCCATTTAGCAATGCCTAAAACCGTACTACTATTTTTATTAGGTTCCCCCCCCCTTTTTTTTTAAACTGCTTCAGTGATGGAAGTGTTTGGGTGCTGTGCCCCTTAGTCTCAGTATTCCCATAAGCTCTGTGGGTTTTATTGTGCAAAGAGCAATGGTTCAGTGTCCTGGACTGAACTCACATTGGTCCTAGAAAACTGGTTATTGCTAATTCACAGAAGGGTGAAAGTTGGTATGAAACACCAATCCTTAACGCAACACTTTTGGAAATAGGTGATTAAGGGTTAAAGGCGAGAGACGGAGTGGTGGACGGTGGTACAGTGAGGAGAAGGCAAAGCCGAGAGGTTGAACATGGAGTTATACCCGGGAGTTCTTAACGTCCGTCCCTGAAAGCCCCCAGCCACCACTGTACCCAGAATGTTCCGTTAGCACAAAATCAGGGGTCACGGTATACACTGCACATAAAAGCCTTCTTCCAGTTCTCAAAATGGCACTTGCCATCTCTTCCTCCCTCTGCATCTTCTTACATGGCATTTTACTCAGCTCCAGCCACGTTATCTGGGACCGCTATGTTCAATATAGAAAAGTTGCTCTCCCTAAAGGGCCGAAGCTTGCTGTGCCTTTTGAATTCCCATGCACGGAAGTTCCGTGCCCAGCAGCCTTCATTCACTGACTGACAGAACTGCCTTCTTTAAACAGCTGGCCTATTAAAGAGGCACCCATGGTCAAGTGGCCCCAAAGACCAGGGACATGTCTCTGGAAAAGTGGAGTTGCTAAGTTACTTAGAATGATTACTGAAAGTTCCTTCTTCATGAAGGGGTAGCTTTTCATCTAAAGCAAATACCCTCCAAAAGCTTGTTTTAGTCCCATTTGTGATTATGTGAAAATCCTGCCAAAGGGCGCTTCAATGCCATAGTCTATAATTTTCCCTCTCACTCTTAAACACTTGTCTTTAACTTTTCTCTTTAAAAAAATTTTTTAAGGTTTACTTATTTTTTAAAGCAAGAGTGAGAGAGAGCATGAGTGGGGGAGGAGCAGAGAGAGAGGGAGACACAGAATCTGAAACAGGTTCCAGGCTCTGAGCTAACTATCAGCACAGAGCTCGACATGGGGCTCTAACCCACAAAGTGTGAGACCATGACCTGAGCCGAAGTCGGACACTTAACTAACTGAGCCACTGAAGTGCCCCTGGAAAACAGTGTTAAGTAGTTAATCCTTCTACCAAATGAATCACTCATTTTAAATACTTTTTGTAATATGCTTCATTCTGTCTCTCCCTTTCTCTCTTCCCGCCTCCCTTTTTCTATACTTAAAACATATGA